GGTACCGTATTTCTCGTGAGGGTTTGCAAGTTGATCCTGACAAACTTGTGGTTGTTCTAAAGTTCCCTACTCCGAAGTGTGTGAATGATGTGCAGTGCTTTTTGGGTAAGGTGTAGTATCTCGGTCGTTTTGTGGATCATCTTTCCGATCGCACTACACCATTGCGAGCGTTGCTGAAGTCATCAACGTCATCTTTCACCTGGTCTCCGGATTGTGAGCGAGCATTCGTGGATCTCAAAGAACTATTGACGACTCCTCCGGTTTTGGCATATCCTGACTACACTCGACCTTTTATTTTGTGCGTGGATGCTTCTAACATTGGTCTTGGAGGTGTGTTGATGCAAGAGAGCTCGAGTGTGCCGGATCAGTGCCATCTCATTGCATACATAAGCCGTACATTACAACCAGCGGAGATGAATTACTCCACGCGGAGAAGGAGTGTTTAGCAGCAGTCTGGGGTTTCGAGAAACTTCATGCCTATCTACATGGTTCTCGGACGTTACTTGAAGGTGACCATGCTGCTGTTACTTCATTATTAAAGCGGAAGAACCTGGTTGGTCGTACGGCTCGATGGGCTTTGAAGCTTCAGATATATGATTTCGATGTTGTTCATTGCCCAGGGAGTTCTATGGCTGATGCTGATGCCCTTTCTCAAGCTCCTCTTCCTTCTCCACTCACTTCTTATGTTTCTGACGAACCTGTTGTTCCAGCATCTGTGGATTTTCTAGATGAGGATTCTGTGCCGTCGGTAGTTGCTGTCCTTGACGTTCAGTGTCCACAAGGTGCAGAGCAAGATCTACCTTCTCTTGATGAGGTTCGCGAGGCTCAAAAGATTGAGCCATGGATTCGGAGGCTTCGAGATGGGTTTGAGAATCCTGCATCCCTTGCTGATGACTTGCCTTTCCGGCATTTACATTCTCAATATCGCCTTGATGATGGCCTTCTTTATTTTGTGGGGACGAATTCTGATGATCATTTACAGCTGGTGGTGCCTTCGGTGTTTATTCCGCGGTTTCTCCATGCCTACCATGATTCTCCTGTTCTAGGTGGGCATATGGGACACCGTCGTGTCACCGAGAAGCTGCGCAGGTCTTTCTATTGGCCGGAGATGCGACGTGATATTATCCGGTATGTGCGTAGCTGCGTTTGGTGCCAAGCTTGTAATACTCCCCCTCGTGCTGCGGAAGGATGGTTGGAGTCAATTGCAGTTTCCCGTCTGTTTGAGTTAGTGGCGTTTGATCTTATGGGACCTTTTCCACGGTCGACTGTTGGCAATGAGTATGTTATTATTGCTTTTGACTACTTGACTCATTGGGTGGGAGTTGGTGCTCTTGCTAGCGTCTCTGCAACTGCTGTTGGATACTTCCTCCTCAATTGAGTGGTGTTCTAGCATTCTTGTCCACAGCGGATTCTTTCGGATAATGGTCCCGCATTTATGGCTGAGGCATTTTATGTTTTGATGTCTTAGTGGGGATTCGCCACACTTTCACGAGTGCTTATCATCCACAATCAGACGGTCTGGTGGAACGGCTTGTTCGGACATTCAAAGGGATGATTGCGAAGTATGTGAACTTTCAGCATTCGGATTGGGATGGTTATTTGCTGTCTCTTCGGTATGCATATGTTACAGGGGTGCAGAGTTCTGTTGGTGCTTCACCATATAAACTCCTATATGGTCATGATCCAATATTACCAACGGAGCTAGGTTTACCTTCGCGATTGCCATATGCTGCCGATGCTAGATCATGGGATCAGTATTTGACGAGCATTCTTCCACTTGTCCGAGCAAATTCTGCCGAACACTTAGGCCGCGTACAAGTGGGACAACAACGGCGCTACAACTCCCATCATTGTCCACCTGCGGAGTACAAAGTGGATGATTTGGTGTTAGTCCGTTTTCCCCATCTTATGGTATGTGGTTTATCTAAGGGGCTTCTTGCGCAATGGAAAGGACCATATTGAGTGTTGCGACAAATTGGACTACAAGTTTATGAGGTTTGGCATGACGTTCAGCAAGCCGATCCTCCAGAGATTGTGCATGTGCAGCGGCTAAAATGCTTCGTACAAAGGGATCATGAGGAGTTAATACCACCTACAGATCCACCGATGCCTCCTCCTGACGTTCCTCCGGATCCCGGCCCATCTTCAAGAGAACCCTGATGGTCTTCCATTATCCTGAGAGGAGGGGATGATGTGAGGGCCAAGTGTACGGTTACGATGCCGTATACTAATATTAGCGTAGTGAGATTTTGGTAGTCGTCGAATTGGTTTCAATCTGGACCACTCGCTCATGTATATAAGCTAAGGTTTTTGGGCTAATTAATATGCACATTTCTGTATTCCCTTTCCATATTCCAAGCACTCACACATCTAAATTATAAATTTTATTTTTAAAATTCACTTTTCCATAATAGTTTCTGTATATTATAGTTATAGGAAATTATAGTTAAGTACCCTGTATCTTCAATTGTTAAAACTGCAGATAAAAGACAATTCAAACAAAAGATATTATTTTTCCATTTTATATTTTCATTTTTATCTTTTATAACTAAATGACCATTAAGTTGAAGATGAAAATAACAAAACATATTATACCTTTCTGATTTTGAAGACCATATGATTTCTTTTGTAATAAAATTTTCAATCTCTAAATTACAATTTTTTAAATTTTCTCTGAACTTATTTTTTGGAGATACTAAACTATTACCATTTAATATATGTGTGCCAATAAATTTTAATGGGCCATTTATTATTTGTGTGCGATATGGCCAACATTAATGAGTATCCATTCCAATTTTAAAATTCAATAAATTAGAAAGTGGATTTTGATCATCAGGTAAACCTTTTGGATATTGGATTTCTCCAAGTGCAACATAATCCACAACAAAATATCTGTATAAAGTTCCAATCATTCCTAAAGGATATGAACGTGCATGATATGCTACCAATCTTAATATTTGCAAGAATATATTCTGAATAACTTGGGTATTAAGTTGTAAATTAAAAGGGGGTGGATTACAATTAAGAAAGTTTTTTAATCCTGTAGGAATAACATAAATTCTAATCATCACTTGTTGATAACCAATTTGAATGACCTTATGAAGATAGAGTTCACTGTTGGAGATTGTAATTGGTTCATCAATATCAATACTCTCTATTAAAAGTTTAATTTCATCTATAATTCTATTAATTTGCTGATTACTAAAATGACCAAAATTTCCTAGCCACCTAGTTTGAGGTGGTTGAGCATAGCAAAAAGTAAGAAAAGTAAAAAGCACTAACATTTTATAGAGCATTTTTTATATTTAGAAAAACACAGTAAATAGAAAGTCTTATAAAGTGAATAAAGTGTTGACTTTATTAAAATATGCCTATTTTATACAAAATATATTTAATAAATATTACTTTTTATTTTGTTACTATTTTAAATGTGAATTTAAGATAAATTTTACTGATAATTAAAACCTTAAACGAAACTAAATCAGATAAATACTAGTTTGCATATTTTGTGAAATAGTATAGATTCAGACCGTTGGACCAGCCGTTGGAAACACTAAACCCTATCTCTTAGGGCTTTCGCTCGATGGAAGCCTCTGCCTCTGTAGCTGCAGATTTTGCGACTTGTGGTAAGTCTCCGGTCAGAAATTCTCGCATTTTCTGCCGATTCTCGGCCAGGAATTTCGTGGGTTTCGCCTCCAAGCATCACTGGGATGACGCCGCCGCGGCCACAGATTGGAGGACCTGGGCCGCCGGCAAGAAATCCAGGATCGGCGCATGCCTCAAATCGGCCAATGTCGGTGGCTTTTTCGCGAGATCTTCCAAAACAGGGGTGAATTTCTCCAAGAAGCTGCGCAAGACGAGGCTGTTGATGCGAGTTTTGGGGTTTCTAAGGAGCCGGAGAAGGCAAAAGAGCGAGAGAAGGAAGGAACTGTACGTGGCGCTCGTCTCCTTGGGGTTGAGGCTCTTTCTCCTCTCGCAGGCCGATAGAATCTCCATGCTGCGATCTTTGTGGAAGGATCACAAGGAGCTTTTGGATCCGGAAAACTCGATCATGGGCTCCCCGGGATCAAGTGGTGGCGATGGAAGAAATGGCAATCGAGGAGGAGGCGGGGGATCTGGAGGATCAAACGATGGGAGTCTACCGTGGAAGATTTTATCTTCCCTGGGTTTCGTAGTGCTCTGCTGTACACTCTTCGGTGCTGCTCTCACGTCCAAGCTTACTCCCTCGCTGGCCTCGATCCCAATCACCATAGCTTGGCTCGTGGATTTCACGGCATCGATGGTGTTGATGCTGTCCGGCTTGCTGATCAACGTCTGGTTGCTTCGAGCGGCAGCGCTGACCGGGCTCGCCATCCTCAAGTCGTGCTGGTGGCTCTTCTCGGAGCTCCGGGATTGCGTGGTGGCGCAGGGAGGTTGGATGAGGGAGAACGTTGGCGGTGGCGGAGCTGCCGCAGTGCTGCTGCTGTCGATTCCGACGTTCTTTGCTTTTCTTCCTGGCAACCGCGCTTTCGTCACTGGGTTCTTGGTTCGTGCTCGGGCATTCATGCTGAGTGTTTGGCACAAGCTCGGGAGCTTTCGATCTAGCAGGAGATCCGAAGGTATGTACAGCAGGGTTTATGGGATCTTCTCGAAGTGAAGATGAAAGATTGAGCCTGGAAAAATTACTTTTTTTTTTTGCACCTAGTTGTACTTGAATTGCCTTAAAGTTATTTTAATTTTTAAACGGGTTTATAAAAATGATTTTAAAAAAGGTACAATTCTGGAATTATTACTTATAATGCGTCCGCGCATTTCGTGACAAGTAACGTGATCCTTTAATCCTTTTTTCCGGGGCAAGAATTTCATGTAGTTCCCATCCCCGCGAAAAGCCACGAACTTCTTGTGGTTCTCTTCTTTCCCGCTGATATCAGTTGTCCCCGCCACGTGGCCGCTCAAATGAAAATGGGCGCCATAGGGTTAGGGTTCTTCCCCATTCTTTGTCTCTCGCTTCCCAGCAGCTTTTGGATCGATCATGTCTGGCGCCTCCTGCTCCTCCTCATCCGATCGCCGGGGACAAAATCCCAGCAGCTCGGTGGGATTGTCCGCAGAATTCTCTGGCGCTGGGGAAGAAGATTGCGCGGCTGCGGCCCGCTCGTGGTGTGACGAAGGCAAGCTCCTCATACCTGGATTGCCCAACGATTTAGCTATTCTGTGCATCGCCAGGCTTCCTCGAGGAATGTTTCCACTCCTCCGCCTCGTTTCCTCGGCCTGGAAACGAGCTGTTAGCAGCGAAACATTTCGACTCCTCAGACACCAGGTATGTTCACAACAATTATCTTCCTCGCTGTTCTTGCTCTATCTCCTTGCTTTCTATCTTTCTCTGTGCGTTTTAGATAGATGACTAAGTGTCTTGCATGAACTTTTCTTTTATTTTTCTTTGTTCTAGACTTGTTCCAGGGCTGTTCTTGCGCGTTTGTTTTTGTCTTTGCTTTTTTCCTGCTTTCCCTGTCAGTATTGATGATCTTGGTCTCGACAGGGGGGATTTTTGCAAGGATGGATTTATGTGCTGGTGGAGTCTGCCACTGGAGCGGCATTTCGTGCGTTTGATCCAGATGCCAACCGCTGGTACAACATGTCGCCAGTGCCCGCAAACATATCGTCAGAGACATGGCAGGGCTTCGCCTGCGTCGCTCTCGACTCGAAGCTCATACTCATGGGAGGGGCTCGGCGCATTTACAACGAGGCAACGCAGCAACTGGGCCAAGGTCCATAATGTAACACTTGCATCTTCCTTTTGTTCTCTTCGTTTTTTTTTTTTCCCTCCTGGCGCTGATTCCTTGTTTTCTTGTCTTTTGTTCCAGTGGAGGTCTGTGGCGACGTTTTTATCTACGATGCGTTTCGGAACAAGTGGCAGCGAGGCCCGAGCCTGACAACTCCACGCGGCTGGTTTGCTGCGGCAGCGATTGGCGATTTCGTCTACGTTGCCGGTGGCCAGGGGCGGTCTTGCTTCCTGGACTCGGCCGAGGTGCTGGACTACAGGGAGAAGCGATGGCACCAAATGCCTTCCATGCATTGCGTCCGCTCCAGCTGCCGAGGAACAGTGCTCAACGGCCAGTTCTGGGTCATTGCCGGCGAAGTGGTGATCAACAATTATGGCGACCACCCGCAGCGAGCATCGGCCGAGTTTTTTAATCCCGCAAGCAAGAGCTGGACGTTGATCCCGGAGATGTGGCTGGATTCTCACAAGGTAGCGCTTGCTCGTTCCCGTCACTTCTCGTCTTAAAGTTTAGCGTCTTTTTTCTTCGTACGGCAGGTTCCCGGTCCCAACACAATCTTTCGAGAAAATCTCCTCGTTGTTCATCAGAGCAAGCTGATGAGATACGATCCGGAGCTCAACGAGTGGGATCACATCGGGCATATCTCCACGGGTAAGCTCTACAACAGGTCCTCGTATCGTTTCGGTTTCGCCCTCGAGTGCCTCGGTGACAAGCTGTATGTCATCGGAGGTAGAATCGAGTCATGGCAAAACCGGAACCGATCGTCCATCCAGCCGGTGAGCACGGCGGAGGTATGTCATCTCGGCACTGCCTCCAATTCTAAGTTCACGCGTTGGAACAGTGTTGCAGACATGAAAGATAGCAGTGGCATTATCTTAGCATCAGCCACAGTGCTCTTGTAAGATCCAAACACCCCCAAACAAATTGCGTCTAGTCGATCGACCGCGCACTCTTCTTCCAAGTATTCTATTTTTCTGCTTTCTTTGATTCTTCCGGGTTCTCGCCCGCTTACGCTACAGCTCTGAGTTCATGGCTGACGCTATCGCTCTTCACGAAACTTATCGTCTTTATTCTTGTTTATAAGCAGGCTTTAGATCAAACGTAGCGATCAGTCATCTTGACAAAGCAACTCTTCTCACATGAGAATATCTGCGTTTTCTTCTTTCAAGTTTATGGTTTCCCGGCCTTGCGGTCCCCGTGGTCTGGATAAATCTCTCGTCACTTAATTTTCTTTTCTTCCATGTGTGGTTTGCTTAAACAAGTGGATCGATTCGCTCCTTTTTTTTCTTCATCTCACCACCACTGATTTTTCGAGTGTTTCTTGTCAAACTCTTCGATGTTAACCCGTTTGATTAAACAGCCGCCCCCGCTGTGAAAGGTGGTTGGCTATAGTAAGTCTCGAGGAAAGGTCTTTGGAATGTCTTGGGATCTAGAAACTTGGACTGTGACACGCACACACGCACACACATACAAAGGAAGGAAACTCTTTTCAATTACTCGGCCAGCAAAAGAGGTGGCACAAATGGGTGTTCCTCCGGATAACAACCGGAAAGAAAAAAAAGATTCTCTCAGGAAAAGAGAGAAATTAATAAAAAAAAAACACGCTCACTCACATCAACGTATTAAAGCTGTCTCTCAATGGAATCAGAGGGACCATTTCGTCCACGACGTTGATCGTAATTACATGGAAAATTCTCCACAAAGGTTACAGCACATTCGTATAGAAAAATCGCGAAACCCCGAGAGAAAATCTTATAAATGAAAAGTTACCAAACCACATGCCCATGCCAAGAGCATGAGCCCGCCCACGAACAAAGGGAATAACTAGCTCGACACGAACAAACCGCTCGCCACGTGGAGCCAATCAGACAAATAATAGCTGCACTGCCTCTTTTAATTTTTTACTTCACAAGTCGAAATAAAAAGTAAAATTATCATTTCTCATGGGCCAGATTCACTCTTATCTAATGGTAAATGTTATGAGTTAGGCTTTATGTGTTTGTGGCTTTTAACTAGGATGGAGCTTCAGCTATGGCAGATTTCATTTTTTCTTCCCCTTCTTCTCTTGTCATCATTGGATCAATTAGTTATAGAGATGGTGTCCACCTTGATTTGATCTTCTATGGAGGGGATCTGTGGCCTGTTCTTTGATACTAGATGATCCTGGACGCAGCGCACTAAGAGGTGGGATTGCAAGAATGCATGATGGATTTGTGGGGATTGCCCCATAGAGAGCATGCTTGGATTTGATGGATCTGGTGGATTGATCTGTGGGCTATTTGCAACCCCTCCAGGTATGCATTTGGGTGACTGGAAATGCCGTGGTTCCCAGACATTGCGAATCCGGCTTTCTGCGAGACCTTGCATTTGGTAAGTATGAGCGCTTTTCCCTCTTTTTGGTAACTTCTCCTACCTCCGGGGAGAGTTTCTAAAGTCATTCTTTGCAGGCCAGACCCTCTTTTTGTGTTCTCCAGTCCTTTGTAGGCCAGACTCTGTTCTTTCTCTCTTTCTTTTTTTTCTCCTTCCCTTGTTCTCGATCTTTTCGTCGTGATCTTGCTGGATGGGTGGTATAGATTTCTAACTCTCCTCCACCTTGTGTGGCTTTGCAGCGGAAAATCATTCTAGAGAAGCAGCACCCAAACTGGTCGTCCAGCCGCCCACGAGTGTTAGAACCCGGAAGTGCTGAGTTTATAGCCGCCTTGGCCGCCGGGAGCAACTCTCGCCGAATTCTCCACATTGGCTGCGGCCTCTCCACCATCGCCCTCGCCGCCGCCGCTCGAGCAACCGGTGGCTGCCTCGAGTGCGTGGACACCGACCGCCAGAAGCAGGCCGTCGTCGCCCGCTACGTCCTGGACCTCGGCCTCAGCGACTACGTGGACTTCTTCCCGGACAAGCCCGGCTCCTTCGTCTTGGACCGGGAAGGCTTCGACTTCGTGCTCTTCACTGGCGAGCCGGAGAACTACATCGACTACTTTGACAGCCTGAGATTCACGCACGCGGCCATCATCGTCGCTTACAATGCGCTGGACGACGCCACCAACGAGTACATAAAGCACGTCCGTCAGCAGCCGGGGGTCGACTCGTCCACGCTCCCGGTCGGTCGAGGCATCGAAGTTTCGAAGATCCTTTCGTGGGAGAGTTTTAGAGCCGGGTACGTTTCTTCCAGCTTTTTAATCTTTGTGTCTCATTTCCATTTGTCGTCGATCTTCTCACTTAGCAGGTCTTTCGCTTGCCACCCCCGTTGCTTTTTCTTTTTTTCAGGAGGAAGACATACTGCGAGCTCTTGGACGATGACTTCTCCAGTCCGGCGGCAACCTTGACGAGGTTTGACGTGGTTGGAGCGGCAGCAGACTTGTCGGACAGTGTCTATGAATCGGTGGCACCGCCGTGGGACGTGGACGTGAACTCTCGCTCGAGCTGCCTGGAAGAACAGGATGCCGGGACGGTGTCTCCGACTCTGAGCATTGGAACTTCGCTGGAAGAGGAGAGCGCCAGGATCCACGACGCGGTGGTGGACTCGGGAGGAGCCGAGAGCGTCGGCATTCACTTCCAGAACGTCGGCAAGCAAACCGAGATCAAAGTCGAGGGGCCGGATCGACACATGCTCCTGGCGGACATCATTCTGGCTCTCAACGAAGCTGGCGTCAGGTATGTGTGCTCTTCTATTTTGATTTCTCTTGCCAGACAGGAAGGAACTTACGTAACTCTCGTTGCTTGTTTTGTAGCGTTCAAGGAGCGAAGATCTCGACGCAGGATAGCCGAGTGGAGGATGTGTTTTACGTGGTGGAGGAGGGTACCGGTGGCGTGCTCGACATGGACCAGCAAGAGTTCGTGAGATCCAAGATTTTGAAGAAAATTTCCCAGAGAGGAGAATGACTATTTGCACAGACAAGTTGTATTATTAACAAGAGAAAGAAAAACGTTTCCTACTAAGCCTTAAGGTTAGTTCCTTTACTTCAACAGGAGTTAACTACCAGTAAAATATACCTAGCATCTAACCCTTTTTCGGTGCCAACTATATAAGCGCAAACCTCGCAAAGATGGTCCATTCATTACAACCAAAGGATTCCATGGACCGCGTCTCGTTTCCAAAGGACTTCGTCGCCAACTTTTACTACGTGCGCCACAACATTCGTGGACCGTTGCCACCTTTCGACCGCAACCCTTCGCCACGCTCAGAGCCGAAAGACAGGTGCGGCCCGCAGTGCAGCTGCCAGATGCAAAAGAGACTCGCCATCTTCAAGACTGAAAGCTGCGGCTGGGGCGTCCGAGCCGCGGAAACAATCCCCAAAGACAGCTTCGTGTGCGAGTACGTGGGCGAGGTGCTCGACTTTTCAAGCTCCGCGCGTCATGACTACCAGTTCCAGATGCCTGGCGACGCCAGGTTCCCGGCCAATTTGGTGGTGGTGGACGCCGTCGCCTACGGGAACGTGGCCAGGTTCATCAACCACCGGTGTGACGGCGGGAACATCCGGGTGGAGCACGTTCCGTACGAGGGCTTGGACGACGACGAGCGCCCGATGTTCCATATTATGATGTTTGCGAGCAGGGATATCAAAGTTGGCGAGGAGCTATGCTTTGACTACTCGGGCGGCGAGCAGCGGTATATTTACAATGAGATGTGCTGCTGTGGCTCCGAGGGGTGCTGCATGGCCTGGGACAATAGGGCTTTGCCTTCTGTGGTGGATTGATATTTTGATCACAACAATTTTGCAGTTGACAGTAACACTCTTACATACTAAAAAATAGAATGCATTGAAATCAAGGTCACACAAAATGTTTGATCCATGTATTTGAATTGTAATACAGCAATTTTTGCATTGTTCACACTTCCAGTATAATGTTTGATCCTATAAATAAAAGAGTTTTGCAAGATCACACGGTTGACAGCTCCTACGGAAATAAAAGGAAAAGAAACAGGAGTTAACTCTGAGACTGTGTGACTACGCTCTCAAACCTTTTCTTTCTGTTTGAACAAATCATCCACGGTTTTCACGTATTCGTCCGTGAGCCTCTGTGCATCAGAGCTTCTTGTTGAAGCGTGGTGGATAAAAATTAGATCTGGTATTTTACCTGCATTTCGGTGGAGAGATCCTTTACATTGTCCGTGGATATCTTCTTTTCCTGACCATTCGATTTGTTAGCGGAAGTTCCGGGGAAATTTAGATACCTTTTCGAGCTTTTCGTACGATTTGATGGCATCCCTTCGGACATTTCTCAATGCTACCTGTTGGTCAAGGCCTAAAAAGTATGACTCAAAACGATATAGATCAAACCTTCCCCTCCTCGGTTAGCTTTGCCACGAGCTTGAGAAGCTCCTGCAAAAGAGAGATAAAAAAGTGTAAATGAAAAGAAAATGGGAATTGAAAGAGAACCAAACTTACCTTCCTTCTTTCAGCAGTAAGCTGCGGTATATTCAAACGAATGACAATTCCATCGTTGCTCGGCGTCAGGCCGAGGTCCGACTTTGTGATCGCTTTATCAATGGCCGACAAGCTGCACAATAGCTAGTAGTCATAACAACAAAACTCCCACATCCTCTACCTGGATCGATCAAATGGCTGGACAAGTATAGTACTTCCATCCGGTGTACTTATTTGAGCAATGGTTTTGAGAAGCACAAGTGTTCCATAGTATTCGACCTGTCCATAGAACGATTTAACTAGAACGCTTTAGAAAGAAGCATACCTCAACACGATCGAGCAGAGCAGGGCTAGCACGGCCTGTTCGAATTGTGTTGAAGTTGGACTTGACGGTCTCAATGGTCTTCTCCATTCTTTCCATCTGGAAAGTCATATCACATATTTACTTGAGACTGCCCAATGTATACGTACAGCATCTTCTTCAACGAGTTGCTTCTCGGCTTCGATGTCCTCGACAGTTGCAGCCCTCACAAACCTGGAAACGTCCCGTGTAAATAAAAAGAGTTACAGAAAGGAAAGAGAGACCTGAGGAGCTTCGCTTTTCTTCCACATTTATCTCTTGCAAGCGGCGATGCAGCAAAATTGAAGCTTACTGCCCCTTTCATTTGCCTGAAGCACACGCTGCTGCGTATCTCTCCACAATTTTCTGCAAGACCACACAGCTGGAAGCGTGAAAAAAACGTAGCCAAGCAGATACCTCTAGCACCATTGTAAGCTGCTCCAAAGCCCGTCGCCCCCGCATTTACACAATGCACACAAAACGCCATCCTGGAAAGAATGAAAGAAAACCAAGGATGAAGAGTTTACATGGAGCTCGAAGCAGCCATACCTTGTCACGGCTCAGAAAACCATATTCCTCTGTTTGCCCTAAGGAGTTTAGCATGTTAAGTTCATCAGCTTTTGTTCCTGAAACGTGTTATATTTACAGTGAAAAAGAAAAAGAAAAGGACCAGCATTGTTCAATAGCGGCCGAGCTTGTATTGGAAATCCACTTGCAAAACATATCGCATTCTGATCTGCTTGGTGTCATAGACGATGTACTCGTTGTACTCGAGGCTAGTATTGCTCTGCAAAGAAAAGAAAAACAAACCACGTCACACACGAGCCGGAAATACGTTAACTTACGTTAGGAGATTTCACTGGTTTTCCCAGAGGCACGACTACTCCATCTGGTAGCGTCTTAAACTGCGAGCTATTTGGTACCGATCGACCCAGACCCTTCGTGCTGAAATACCACACCACATTCAAAAACCAATAGAAGCAACGAGGAAACAGCACTGCGTGACCTTAGCTTTCCGGGAGGGAGTCTGTTCGCATTGTAGTCCGCTTGATAAAGCTCATTCATCTGTCCAAGAGCCACCTGAAACACGCAAAGAATGACGGTTGCGAGCAAAAAGAAGAGCGGGGTACCTCACACAAGAGGAGAACTCCACGGGGATTTTGCGATGTAGTAAAGCAATAGTTGGCACTCTTGGATACCATGTCAGCAAAATAAACGCCTTTCCCAAACATATAACCCGTCGATGGTGCTTCCGGAGGAGCAATACGGAGTCCTAAATCCATAAACGGTTTAGTCTATGTCTGAGCACAACAAAATAACCTTGAGAAAGAATGCCCGTCCAGTTTGTCAGCCGTGAGCCGTGCCAGAGAAGCATGCGGTTGGGAGTTTGAGAAAACTGCAAATGCAGAGTAAGCGATTGCTCTAGCAGAATGCGCCTCACTTACACTACGAAAACCCGCATCTTCTTCATCTCTCTGAACCTTGAATACATCCTGTAAAATAAGGTCATAACTGCGATGTGTTTGGCCATGGGTGTTCTTCAAATACTCCTGGATCTGGAAAACAAAGACAATTTTTACTTGTATGCACCTAAACTTTCAAAACTTGTTACAAACCATTTTGAATTCTTCACCACTTTGGTCGAGTGGTTCAAGCTTGCACATCAGCCTTTTGTAATGTGCAAATGCTGGATCATCCTGTGTACAAGAAAAACATTGAGATTTTACACTGATGTTAAACAAGTACTTTACCTCCTCGTCATCTTCTTCTAGAACCTGCGCAGCGATTGCAATCTCTCCAAGAGCCTCAACCTGATTAGAAAAACATAAGCTTGTATTAAACGTATCGACGTCACGCATAGTACCATTTCAATTTTCTTTTTCAGCTTCTCGATAGTGTTAATAGTTTGTTGTCCTGCAAATATAAGCTCGCAATCTGATGAATAAACCAAAATTGGGAACTTACGGATATTCTGAAAGCCAAAATCGTGCGGGATAAGTGTGTAGAACTCGCTGCAAAACCAAATAAACATATGTTGAGTCAAACCAGATTAGAATAAACTTTACCTGCTCAAGTCTAGCAAGGTTTGCGGTGGTCCACGCGATTCCAACACCCCTTGAATGGATTTCAGTGTTTGATATCCCTGGAAAACACAAAAGTTACCCAGTCTCGTCAAGAGTTCAAAAGAGGCACGTCACCTTTAGGATTGTCGCCTTGCTTAGCTTGCCAAGGGGCATCTTTCGAGCGTCATATCCTATCTCCACCATTTGTTGCCTCATCATTTTGAGATCGCAAATCAGAGACACAAATTGCGCAACACGGCTGTCAAGTTTGCTCTGAACTTGCTTCTTCATAGGAGGGACCACGTCTTTCTTCTTCTCCGTCTGCAAGAAGAGAAAGTCAGGATCTCGTAGTTGGATTGCAAATGCAACCTTTTTTTTCGCGGCATCTTCCTCTTCGTAGTCCATTTCCAGAAGCGTGTATTTTTGCGGGTGTGAAACAAACCGACTGCGATCCCTCCAGTTGTTACGAGTCTTCTGATAAAACTTCTTCTCGAATTCCCGTTTTGCACCTTCTCGGGATAAGTTATGGAGCTGGTTTTGACCTTTGTATCCAACTCGACCCCAACGAAACCACGCAAAGTACTGGGAGTTGTCATCAGATTCTGCCATGTAACGCTGTCAGTAACACAAGAAACGATTTGTAAGCGTACTTGCCTAGCACTTGGAGCTTATAGTACTTGTTATTGTTCTCTCCTACGTTGGTTTGATTGAGCATTGCATCATACACATCGTCCCCCTATGTGAAATAACCACTGGCTTAGGATAAAAAAACTCACTAGAAAAGTAAAGAGAACGCACCTCTTCTAGAACATGACACGACGATTTAATATGATCGGCTAGCACCTCGTCCAAGACCGCGCGACCCTTCTTGTAAGCTTTTACCATCTTAGCTTCCTCCTCCCTTTCCTTCTTTCCTTCTTTCTCCTTGCCACGAGCACTTGCTCTGCGAGAGTCGGGCTGGGTATCGTCGGCTTGATCTTTGGCAGTAGCATCGCTCTTGGCATCTTCCTCATCTATCAAAATCACGGTGAGAAGGAAGACTTCCATTCGCGTTACCTTTGTCGACATCACTTTCGAGAGCAGCAATTAACCTCTCCACGAGATCGTTCTTCCGCCCAGTCGTGGCAAGCTGACGCTCGCTCAATGCCGCGCGGAGATCTACCACTGTCATTCTTTTTACCTCGTCGGCCTTCGATCTTTTAGGCGCCGGTGGGGCATCGTCTCCATCGTCTTCGTCTTCCTCCTCGCCTTTTCTCTTTGCAGCTCGCTTCTTTGTCGGGGATTTCTTCGTCGTCGGTGCTTCGGCGGCGATCGCATCGTCGAGCCTGGCGACCTAGGGATTACAAGGGGAAAACGCATTCTCAAGCTCGATCGAACCACACAGACATTACCAAATCCGCCTTGAGCCCCGTCGCGTCGAGATTGCGCTTGCGAAGCGCCTCGCGCAGCTTCACGACCGTGAGGCCGCTCGACATGATTTCAAACTTGCGCCCAAGAACCCTAATCCAGGAGGCTTTTCCGGGAAGCTATACGAAGAATATTCCTAGTGGCGGTTAGAAGGCATGGTTAAAAGGAATTAGCTTAATCAGGATTTTATAGATAATTATATGCCCTACAGTACAAAGTGAGAGTCAATCTGAG